AAGTGACTTGTTTTATGGTGTGTCTGCCTCCCGTGTTTAACGTGGTTTTTCCCGACAACCTTTTCCATTTTGTATGCTGAGAATCAGTTTTAGTTCTGATATCATTTTATGAAGAACACGATAGTATAAACATAATTAAAGGAAGAAGAAGAACATGCAAAAGCAAAGAAATGCAGAGCAAAAGAAAAAAGAAAAAAAAGTGAACTAGAAATGCAGCAGAGTGCTGGAAGAGCAGCCATACGTGTGACCTCCCCAATCTATGACTGCTTTTCTTACTGGGGACGGGAAAAGCCCCGGAGCTAAACAAAACTCCAGTGACTAGCAAAAACAGAAACCAAAAAAGCAACCCAAAACCCAAAGTAGCAACAGAAAAGCTGCTGGCTTCAGAAGCAGCTTGAACAGATTGCCCGTTACATCAGAGCAGGAGGAAGATGGAGAGGTCTTGCTCAGGATACTGAGGTATGAAGGCAGCTGATGCCTCTGGCAAAGCGTAGGAGGCAGGCAACGACAGGGAGCAAACATCCAGCAGGCTTCTGCAGACTGGGACAAGATTCTCCAGCGATAGGGAGGGAGGGAGGGAGGGAAACTAATTACAGCCAGCCTTCTGAGTCCTGTGGCTTTACCTATTAACAGGCTCTGTGTTTCAGCTCTACCAGAGGCTGCATGCAATGTGCATTTGCTTTCAAGCAACCTAAAATGTGGGAGCATTTTTTAATCTAGGATATATACAACTTTAATTATTCAGAGGACCATGGTTAGATCACATTGCATGGAAAAGCCTTTTTGTTACAATGATAGCTCATTGTGCAATTTAACCTATTTTCTCTATGCATCCCATAACACATAGACTCCTCTCTGTTTCACTCCCTCTCCTTTAAGTCTGTGCACTTTTCAGCTATATTTTCTTTTTTTCTCCACCCATAGATCTTTCTGCAGTCCTATTTCTCAGGTTCCCACTCCCCATTTTTCTTTATTTATTTCCACAATTCTCTCTGTATCTGTTATTCCTTTCCCAATACCTTTTCTCACTGTTGTTCAGTCATTCAGTTACTTTCAACTCTGTGCCCGAGGGTATCTATTCAGCAGGACTGCCTGTCACAAACTGCTTCTCTGAGTTCTTGTAAGTTTCTGCTTGTGTTGTCAGTAATAGTATCTAGGTACCACCTTATCTTCTGTCAATTATTTTTGATTGCCTTCCATTTTTCCAGGGTCTTCTCCCATGAGTTTTGCCTTTACATTACATGTCCAAAATATCTAATCTCTAATTTTAATATGAGCATTCTAGTGAGCAGACTGGTTTTATATCATTTCGTTTTGAATGATCTGTTCTTGCAGTCCGAGGTGTTCTCAACATTTTTCTCTAGCACCTTAACTCAAAGACCTAACTTTTTCTTCATTCATCCATTCTGATGATCCAGATTTTATAGTCATATGTTACATCTAGGGAAACCATAGCCTTGACAATACGTACTTTTTCTCATTACTCTGGTTATACATGCATCTCCAACTCTAATCTCCCACTTATGGATCTCCTGCTCCCTGAGCAAGATAAGTGAAGAAGAGACGTGTGTGTGTGTGTGAACAAAACTTCCTAGCAGCCTCTGACTTTCTGACTTTTGTTAGTTCTCTTCAACCTCTGTCTTCATATGCTACATAGGAACAGCACAGCAAGTGTCAATAAGAACTATGGGAGAAAGAACCCTCCTTCCAGTAAATGCTGAGCATTCACACTACTACAATCTGAACCAAATGTGAACATTATGAGAGCAAACAGGCTGTATGGGGCGGGGGGGGGGGCGGAAATTAAGACAAATGGCTAAATGAGTGAGGTCCTTTCAGGAGATCACATCAGTTGCAGAATATGACCGCCACAAATATCTAAGAAATAAGTATGTGCCAGCCCTCCTGCTCATTCTGTTTCCTTGATTTAAACTAGGGGGACATAATGTGAAGTTCTAGGGCTTCTCTTGGTTGTGGGAAGCTTGAATGCAGCCCCTGGAGACCCACAAAAAGTTGCTATCTGATTGTAATTATTAATGTGAAAGAAGGAAAACAATAAGCACTACATACAGAACAGTATTAAACTGAATTAAATTCAGCTTGTCTCCCCTTTCCCCCACCTCTCTCCTTGCCCACCCAGTTTGCCACACTAACACCAAGCACAACCCTGCTAAGGGCCTCTAACTCACCTCATCAATTTTGTTGCCCACCAGCATCTTCACAACATTTTTTTTGGTATAGATTTCCAGCTCCTGCAGCCAGCTTTCCAGGCCCAGAAAAGTCTCTCTCCTGGTAACATCATAAACTGCATGATGGTGTAAAACAAACAGATGCCTTTGTGCTTACATAGAAGAGCATCTCAGTAAGGCAGAGAGGGAGAAAAAGTTGATCCACTTCTAGTCAGATGACATAAAGTGATTGGGCTGGACAGAACCATGTCTGGTCCTTCCTGGGCCTATGAGCATTCTTGGACTATGTTCCAATCATCTCTAACTATCAATCATCCTTACTGGGCTGGTAGGCCCATAACATCTGGAGGGATCTAGGTGGGGCAAAGTCTGTTGTGACATTCCACTGCAGAAGGTAGCCCAAGTGGTGTGTATGTCGCAAAGGTAAGCACTCCGATGCCTCCCAAACACTCTGGCCTTCAAGTCCCATCAACTATCTAACATGTCTAAGGGCAAGAGAGGATGGTAGCTGTGATTGAAGACATTTGGAGGCCACCAGATTTTTTTGTCTGTTTGCTGTCCTTGGAGTCCTTATCATCATGACAGCCTAAAAGCATGTTTTCTTGAGCTATGGAAAAACACACAATCATCAAAGCCCAAGAACAGGCTTAACATACACACAGAGGAAAATCTCAAAATTCTCCCCAAAGTCAGGAGGAAAATGGAAGATCCTGGCTTCATTTATCTGTGTGATGCGGACCCATATCCCCTGCATCATCATCCCGTCCATGGCAGCCCTCCTCCAAATATGGCCCCTGGCCACCAAGAGGAAGTCTGTCTCTGCTCTGCAACCAACTGTGCTAGAAAGTTATTCTGCATTTTAATACTTTTTTTCTTATCGCAGGGGGAAAAAAGCAGCAGCTTGTAGACTGCTATAGCACAGGTTAAGTATACCACATAATGAGAACAGCTTTTCTTCCCAGGGTGCAACAGAGAAATATGGGATTCTGTGAATTTCCTTCTGAAATTCATCCATAAGCTTCTGAGGCTTCTCAGGCCTTTTCCCATGATTTATTATTTCTTGTGTGGTCTCTTTCTCCATAAGTGGCACTTCTGCTCTGAGTCCAGTGCAATTTCTTGAGCATTCAAAGGGCAGCATTTTGTATCTGAACAAAGGTACTCTTCCCCATGGTGCATGCAGTGGAATTGTAATTATTGCACCAAATAGGGTTTTGTGACTACGAAGGGCACATCCATTGCCTGTAATTAGTGTCAAGCCATAAGGACATCGTCCCCACATGACCAAATCACTTTGGGAACATTGCAAAAAATTCTGCAGGGGAAATGGGGGATGGGGATATTTACAGCCATGTTAAAATACCCTTGGGGGCTTAGCTTGACTTGGATCAAAACCTGACAGGTTCATTGGCTTTACATCTCCATCAGCATCAATAGAAACATCTTATAAATCAAGCGAAGGGGTCTTCAGCTTTCATATCTGAAATATTTTTAAGTAACACAAGGCTCTGCTGAGGGAACAAGCACCATCAACAAACAACTCAATGGCGTAGGAGCAAACCCCATCAATTGTTCTTCCAAGGCTGCTGGTGCCAGCTACCCTGAGAGGAAAAGATGTACTTCCATTTACCTCCGCCTTAATGTGTTTGGCTTCAGTGGGGTTAATTATGTTCACGCTACAACTGCCACCTACCTAAAATTACACCTTGAGCACCTCGATAATAGCTTGGAGTCAATGTTCGAAATCGCTCCTGCCCTGCTGTGTCCTGCAAAAAGGAAACAAAGGTGTTTTTTTTTTTAAGATAATTTAAAACTCTGTAGCACAAACATAAAAAAAAAAAAAAAGTTAAGTTTTGCAAGAAATGAAACTGCCTTTTGGGTAGCTAACAGATGTTCTCAAGACTGGGAGGCCCTAAAGCTAAAATCCAAAGTCACAATCTGCACAGTCAGCCATCATGAGCTCTATAAAACAATAAAAGTTTTCCAGGTTTGATAACATCACACATGTTTATGAGAAGAGGTGCAGTATGTGAAGAAGCAAGACAACTTGCTTAGGAGATATTGTGTAAGAGTTATATATGATTTTTGCCCTGGCATCTTCTCTACAGTTTCAGTTCCAGATATGAATGTGTGCAGTTGTTAAATCAATACCGCAGCCTATATATTGGAGAAGGCAAGCTCCTGGCTTCAAGGTCTGCATTTGATGCCAGGCATCAGAGTTGAGGACTGCACACGACTTGCTCTGCACATGCAGACACATGTGTACGCATAAAGCTTTTCTTTCTATTCCCCCCTCTAAGATCTCAAGGCTCCAATAGTCATAGACTCCTCTCAGCACAGGAGTCAAAGCCTGTGCTTTGGTGCTTAGAGAATTCTATGGCTACTGCAACTTGCAGGAAGAGGCTGGGATTACTGAGTGGATTTTATGGCTGTCCCCTGCCAGACTCTGTAGCCATAGAGTCGTGCATTGAAAGGACTCTATAGTCACAGAGCCGTGCAAGAAATTCGCAGCAACTGTGTTGCAGGGAAAGAGCAGCAGGGTGAGTTATCCGATATTGATATTTAAGTATCCCAAACTCTTACCAATGCACATACGTGCACCCCCCCCCCCAAAGCCACCAAGTATTGGGAAGCACAGGAAAATTCACCAGGATTTTGAATAATTAGAAAAAAAAATTAAAGGGGGAAAAATAACCCCTTAATGGAAAAACTCCCAGGGTGTAATAGCCTAATACGGACTGAGCATGCTGTTACTCAGAATCTGGACTTGCACAATATCAACAGGGCATTGTTGATTTTAAAACATTACCACTCTCGCACTTGAAGCAGGGGGCTGTTTAATATAAAACAGCAACTATCAGAGCACATTGGAGCTGTGTATGAGTCACTGCAGCGCCAGAGGTTAAGATTAGAAAAAGCACACTGTTGCTTCTGTTTGAAGACATAACTATCTGGGGACCTCCAGATGAAAGTGCAGATTTGGTTACGGGTTGGGAGGACAGCTTCACTGCCACTCGCAAGGCAGCAAATATTGCTGCCCAAATGTGTATTTTTGTTTCCTTGTGCTGAGCGGGGCACCTGGGCTCTCACTGGAGAAAAACTGCAGCTCGCCTGCCTTCCAGCTCCTACTTTTCTTCCTTAGCATCCTGGCATGACAGCATCAGTTGCTTGGGAGGGGAGAGATACAAACTTGGGAGAACCGCCCGAATTTATTTATTTTCGAGAGGAAAGAGGATGTTTTGGTATGAATCTGGGGGCAGAACAAGGCAGTTGAGCCCTGCTGACTGGCAATTTTCTGCTTGCCTATGGAGCCAAAGAGATCACCACCCTGATTGGCTAGTGGTTCCCTGCATGTAAACATGCTCCAGCCTTGTAGCATCCCAATTTCCGAAAAGGCCTGAAATGATCAGAACAGCCCAGAATAACAGAGAGTGCGCTTTGAACTGGAATCTGAAGGGTTTGCAGATGGGAAGACTGGTAATCTCTATGGATGTAATGCAGCTCTAATGACAGTTTCAGAAATATGTATGCCTAGCATAGATCGAAAGAATGCTGCTTTTTCATACGTCTCTGCCTTTCTTTCTCTGCTTAGAAAGAGATTAATTTCCAGGACTGGAAAGGGAGACTGTACTGCTTACCCATATTGCTAGCTGAAGGGGAAGATCCCCAACCACCATCTTCTTCACTTTAAAATCAACACCTGATAACCAAACAGAGAGAGATGGGATTTGCAAAATACACCAAGCCATCTGTCCCTAACATGGCACCTGAGAGCAACAATGTGCCTGCTTACCAACAGCCTGGCACTTGCCAAAATCTCTGCTCTGCCTAATTATTTTCAGAGTCTTTTAATAGAGCAGACAAATAGAAAGCAATGCAGCCTTAGGCATAACCCGCATTTCCAGCAAGGTCCCCAATTCCCAGTAGTATTTGGAGGCATTCTTAGAAAACACATTATTGGAGGACTGCAGTCTGGTTCTTTGTTTGCTTCATTTAGTTCATAAATTTATTTTAACTTGAATTTTTTTTCCTAAGAATGCTTCTCACATCTTAGAAAATAAAAATAAAGGACTGAAGCTGCTGCTTTGTTTGGAAGCATGCCCTCCTGGTGAATGGACAATTTGTGATTGGCCATGCCTACCATGGCTGCCATTTTGTAAGAATGCCCATAATGCCTTCCCAAAGTTCCACATTGTTCATTAGCTCAGCAAGGCTGGGAACTCCTGGGCTAAGCCATCAATGTTGGTTTACAGACCAAATATATTAACCCAAACCCAATAAAACCACACTGTGGCTTGGTGGTGACGTGTGGACCCTGCTAGAGAAACACAGAAGAATCAGAACAGCAATCTAAGTGCTTATATTAGTTTAGGAAGTTTTGAACAGAGACATAAGACAAGATGAGGGGATAATGGGTGTAAAAATTTAAAAAGAGATATACAAATTGAGAGCTTTTGCAGATGATCTGGTGTTGGTGTTGGAAGAGCTGTTGAAAGGGATAGAACTATTAATGAGAAAATTAAAAGGGTTTGATGCATTAGCTGGCTTTAAGATTAATAAAAGACAAAGATGTTAACAAAAATATGAAGACACAAGATCAAATAGAATTGATGAACAAAACAGGTTTCAAGATTGAGAAAAAAAGTAAAATACTTAGGTGTTAATTTGACAAATACGAACTGTATGTTGTTTCAGAATAATTATGTTAAGTCCTGGAATGCAGTTAAAAAAGACATGTTAAGATGGGAGAAATTACAACTGACATTGTTGGGAAGAATTTCTGTGATAAAAATTAATGTTTTGCCTAGGATGTTATTTTTGTTTCAGACAATACCAATTTTGACTACTGATTTACTATTTAAACAGTGGCAGAAAGATATATCTAAATTTGTGTGGCAAGGCAAAAAACTGTGAGTTAAATATAAAGTGTTGCAAGATGCCAGAGAAAGAGGAGGTTTAGCTTTACCTGACTTGAAATTGTACTTTGTAGCTTGCTGTTTAGTCTGGATGAAAGAGGGGGTGACACTGAGAAACAGAAGGCTCTTGGACCTGGAAGGGCATGATTTGAGATTCGGGTGGCACGGCTATTTATGGTATGACAAAATTAAGGTTAATGTAGATTTCAGAAATCATTTTATTAGACATCTCATTTTGAGGATTTGGAATAGATATAAATCTAGATTGTGTCTGAAAATACCTTTATGGCTACCGCTGCTAGAAGCATATTATAGAAGAGAAATGGTAACTAAGAAGAAATGGCTAACTTATGGTGAAATTTTAGATTTTTACTAGAGAGAATTTAAAATAAAATCAAGAGAAGACTTGGTATCAGAAGGATATATGTGTCAATGGTTTTCACATGTACAATTAGTAGAAAGATTTAAAGTTGATAAAAGGACACATGGTTTTGAACATGATAAAACTGTATTTGAAATTGAGTTATGTACTAAAGACAATGATCTTATTGCTAAAACGTATAAACTTGTTGAGATTAGAAGGATATATGTGTCAATGGTTTTCACATGTACAATTAGTAGAAAGATTTAAAGTTGATAAAAGGACACATGGTTTTGAACATGATAAAACTGTATTTGAAATTGAGTTATGTACTAAAGACAATGATCTTATTGCTAAAACGTATAAACTTGTTGAGATTTGAAACAGAAGATGAACAAATTAAAGACTATATGATAAAATGGGCTAAAAATTTTGGATATATTATACAAATGGAACAATGGAAAAATATGTGGATGAAAGGGTTGAAATTTATATTATAATCTGAAAGAGAATTTTTATAAAATGATGTATCAATGGTATCTGTCACTGGAAAGATTGTCAAAAATGTACAAAGGGACTTCAAATATATGTTGGAAATGTGAACAACAAGAAGGAACTTTTTATTACATGTCCACCAAAGATGATAAAGTTAAAAAAATTTGGACTCAAATACATATACCAATTCAGAAGATTTTGAAGATTAATATACAATCAAAACCAGAGACATTTCTTTTGGGGCTGATGGATAAACAATTGGAAAATTCTCATGGATCTTTGTTTTTATATATGACAACTGCAGCGAGAGTTTTATATGCTCAAAGATGGAAAGATATTACCTACAATGGAAGAATGGATGGTAAAGTTAATGAAGCTAGCTGAGATGGAGAAATTGACAGCTTTGATTAGAGAAAAGACATTGACTAATTTTAATGTTAATTGGAAGCCCCTTTTGGACTTTCTGCGGAAACAGAAACAATGAAATTATGACATATGGATTTGATATTAGTAAAATTAATAGATTATAGAAAAAATGGATGTTAAGTTATAATCCTAGAGTAAAAATTTAATGTATGTTTTACTTATATTTGCTGTAAAAGAAGATGAATTTTTTTTGTATTTCTGTTTCATTATCTTTTTGCACTTCTGTACTCCTTCTTTCACTTTATTCTTTCTTTTCTTCTATTCTTTTTCTTGACTATTAGTTCTTGTTAGTTTTTATCTTTCTGTTTTTGAAATTTAATAAAGTTATAAAAAAAAGAACAGCAATCTAAGCACATCTGGAGGGGAGCAGGTCAGAGAAGGCTAGCACAGGGCATTTTAGATCAGTTGTTGGAGGTATGAGCAGGAAATCCTTATCTAATTCATACAATCTGCCAAACTAGACAATGGATTAAATGTGGTTAAAGAAAAGTGCCTTAAACATAATTTGTAAAAATGGTTTGTGTAAATTTAGTCATCCAAAACCTGATCTAGTCTGTATTATTCCAACCTGGATGTTTCTTCTAAAAATCTATGATTAATTTTCCTTTTCAGCCACTAGACATAGATTATATCGACATCAAAGGCTAATTTAAAAAGCTGGTTAATCAATACAAGGACACCCCCCCCCCATTATTTGCAGTTCTATGACAAATCTTGGGTACAAATCTCAATTTCTGCAATGGTACCTATTTCAGGTTTGGACAACATAGTATGCAACAAAACGTGGTTAAGGAGCCAAGTATGAGGGGTACTAAAAATGTTATGTGTGTGTGTCTTTAATGAAGCTATTTAGCTTAGCTACCAAAATGGGAAGCTGTAACAGTCAGTTTTGTTTTTTTTCTCTTTTTCCCATACATGAACAGGCAGCATTGCTCACCAATCGTTGGGCTGAGGTATGGCTCAAACTGGTCTTCGGCGAATCTCAGCAAAAGGCTACAGGAAGAGACAAAGGGGGGAAAAAAAACAGTAAGCCATGAGGAACACCTCTCTGCCTTTCTCTCTGGGACAGAGTTCCCACCTGTCTTCCCACTCTGTGACCCTCTTCTTCCCGTGCACCTGGATTTCCCCACTGCGCTGTCTCCAACCAACAACAGCTTCAGGGTGGGCAGAGATGCGACGTCCTCTCGTGCCATGGCGAGCCTTATTACCAGATGCTCCAGGGAATTAAGTGGAATGAAAACAAGGATGCTACCCCAACATCCAAGCCAAAAAAGCTAGAAAGGGAGAAGAGGAGGAGTCAGAAGATAGTTCACCACCACTAAGTCCCCCACCTCTCTCTCCAGCTGAAAGAATGAATTATGGTCTGGGAAGACAAAATTGCAGTTTGGGAAGATTTATCTGCAGGTAACAAAAGAGGCTTGAAGAACTTTGTGCGATGGGACAAAGAAGAAATGAAGAGGAATCAAATCCTATGACAATATTTGAATGAACTAAAGATTAAGACTGTTAGATGTAAAAGTAAGGAATATAAAGTTGGTTTATTTGATCAAGATTAAAACAAGATATATTGTTACTTCTGGCAACCCTTTATGGACTTTCTGCTGATACCAGGACTGAAAAGATTATGTTTTGTGGATTTGTTTATAGATAAGAAATGGGATATGGGATGAAGAGATAAATGTTTGTAACCTTAGAGGGGAGTGAAGAGTCACTAAATTTGTTTATACTTGTTGTGATGAAGGTTGAAAGTCACTTCTTTATATATTTCTATATTATATTATATTCTTTTCTCTTTCTTTTTTTCTTGCACTTTTTATTCCTTTCTATTTTCTTTTTTTAATTTGTTTAGTTTGTATTAGATTTCACTGTTATAATCAAAATTCTTGATAAAAATTATGTGTGATGTGTGTGTGTCAGAGAAGGTATATTTGCAGGAAAGATGGGAAGGCAGGGCAGAAGAGAAATTATTCCTTGAGGATAGGCTTTGCAGTCACTAGTTTTGTTGTAAAAATAAATAGAACTTTGAAAAGTGCTTCTTAATGTGAAAAAAAAATGAATTCAGTGGTGAGAAAAGCACTCTATGCATGCTTAAAGAGCCTGCTTACAAACCATGATTGTTTGAATCTAGCCAATTGTGATTTAGTGAAGAAACAATTGTTAAGCAAACCAATAGCATGTTGTGTGAACACAGCTATTATTTTTCAGACCAATCTACACAAAAGATTGTTACAAAGATAAAATGAAAGAATAGGAAGAACCATGTAGGTCACTTTATGTCCCTGGAGGAAAGAAAGGAAATAAATGTAAGAAAGAAATACCTTTTTAGGGAGTAAGTTCCCCTGAATTCCATTGCAGCTAAATATCGTCCAAGTTAAACAGCTGTGATACACAAAACTACACACAAACCAAGTACAGGCCAGTCTAATGGGTCATGCGAACACTGCCTGTGGGATATGTTTGCTGTGCTGTGCATATTCAGAAAATTGAATTATCTAAGTGAAAGATGGGTGTCATGTAAACAGCCACGGCATTTTGTATTGTTTTATGCAGAAGTTGGAACACCCCATCATTTTGTAACGGCCCTTCTAAAAATGCCATCGTTGACAGACTTGAACGTGGCTTGTCCAGTTTGAATCAAGAATGGATGGAGTTTCCACATAAATGACCCTGAGTTTTGGGGGAAAGCTGAATTTGGAACAAGGGTCTCTTTGCCTCAGTGTTAGATGTCACTTCTCTGGCACAAAAGGAGCATCAGGGCAAAACATTTGAGTCTTTCTGTACCCCCAGAGCAGCCCGGACCTCCTTTACACACCTGGAACTAGAGTTTCCCTCCAAAATCGATCCTGAGCACCTGTAGCTTTAAACGGTAAACATAAAAATAAATGAATCTGGGGTGTGCAACGTACACACGGGCAACGCGCGTGGGTGTCTACCCACACATATACAATTCCACTATGGGGCCCCGAAGCCGTGCTCTAAATCGGAAGAGGGTCGATCCCGAATAAGCAATATGGTGCGAAAGAAAGGGGCCCCGGTTCCAGAGGGACGAGACCACGCGGGCCCTCTAGGGCGCCCAAGCTCTGCGGGCGGCGCGCCTGAGGCGCACGGTCCTGGCTCCGCGCCGTTCCCTCCCGGCCGGTTTGGGAGTTGCCGGCCGTGCACCAGCTGATCGCGGCCCCTCCTATCAGGCAGGGCCCGGGGAAA